GTTCGAGAACGCATATGGATGGCGCCCCGCCGCCCGCTTACTTTTTTCTTTAGAGTCTTGCGCATCTTCAAAAAATTTTTTTTAAAAAATCGGACCTACAGTTACAAGGTCACGTGACCTTTTGTCTTTGCATGTCAGCCCGAAAATCGCTCATTTTTGTGATTTGTGTACAAAACATATGGAAATGTCATTTTTCCTAAAAATAGATCAAACATGGTTATTGGGTCTTTTTTAAAGTTTAGGTGGTTGTTCTGGGAGTCAAAATAGTTGAATTGTAGGAAGAAAGGAAATAAAAGAACAAAAACAATAACATACATAAGTTAAAAAACAATGAAATACATAAGAAATTAACAAAACAAGAGATAACATAAGGAATAAGCTGGCTCTTCCAAATTTTGTTGTCGTATTATTGTTCCAAATGGTCTAATGAATATATGTAGTGAAAAAGAATGCTTAAATATGAATAATATATGATTTATGGGTAAAAATGTGATTTTATGAACTTATTTGCATAAATTACCATAAATATGCAAATGAGTGATTTTTTCTAAAAATTGAAATTATCATATTGTTCAATACACTTCACTTGACATGTGTGCAAATTTTCGTGGAGATCGGCCGTTTCACGGCCGAGATCTTAAGGGGGGCCATAATGGCCCCCCCCCCCCGGCCGTAGTAAGACTTCAAATAGCCCGGCCTTATTAGGGTTAAATGCCACTTTTTAAATCTGTTGAGATTTGTTAAAGTAAAGTAAGTATATTTATAACTGATAAGATTACTTGGGTTTCAGTGTTTTCATTCTTTTAAATAACAGACAGAATAGGTAAAGATTTAGTCTTGACCTATTGTCGGGGATTAAAAGTAATATTTATTGTATCATCTATATGTGTATCAACTGTATGAACTTCCATCATTATCTTAATTTTCCCCATCTGACATAAGGGATGAAGAAGAAGAAGACATTTCAAAATAAAAGACAACAAAATTGACTGAGAAAATGCAAGATTTGAAAGGGGAAAATAATGATTAAAACAAAAGAATTTGTGCCTGATCGTAGTGATGTCCAGATACTGTACATGTTCAAATCCCTAAAACAGGCTGGCTCAAATCCTTTCAATCCATTTCCCTGTGCACAGGGAACAAATTCCCTGCATTTCTGAAAAAAGCCCTTCACTTGACCTCTTCAAAACACATCTGAAATCTCTGCAATTCTTAATGTGTTCTTAGACTAAGCACCTTGTATCCACTTTGGAAGGCGCTTTCGAGGTCCAGTAATTATTAAATTTGTATTATTATCGTTTTTATTATTCTTAATATTATGATGATTGTTATTATGTATATGTAGCAGTTCAGCATCCCCTTTTAAAGACACGTTATGCCTCGATCTGCCCACTGAAGGTGGTGTCAGAGGCATTATGTTTTCAGGATGTCCGTTTCTCGTTACCACTATATCTCATGAACCACTAGAGATACAAGACTCAAACTTGGTGATAGTTTGAATCACTATAGGAAGATAATTATTTGATCAGATTTTGGGTAAATAGGTCACAGAGGTCACTTGCTCTTGCGATATCTCATGAACCACTAGATATATGGGATACAGACTATTGATAGTATGTATCATCATTGAAATATTTGGCGAGAAGGTCAATGGTCAAAGATTTTTTCTGGGGGATCCACAAACTACAAGCACTTTTTTTTAGTGGATCCCCCCCCCCCCCCCATTTCCTCAGAAATTAAGAATTTCTTGTAATAATGTTATTATGTGCAAAGTGTATTTGTATAGTTACCAGAATAAAATGTTTCATGTATGAAAAAAAATGTGCCAGTAATTACCTTTGTTTATCTTTCTGTTGGAAATAAAATAAATTTGAATTAAAATAATTGAACTGAATCATAAAGGCCCATTTCTGAAATTACAGGTTTAATCCTTGTTTTAGCAATATTTTAAGAACCATTAGAATTATTAACCTCACACTTTGTGATAGTATGTATCACCATATGAAGACAGTCTAAGTAGGTCGAAGGTCACAGAGGTCAATTTCTGAAATTAAAGGTTTTTAGCCTCGCTATTGCTGCAATATCCAAACCTGTAGATTGTATTACTAAAAAGGAAATACATTTTGGTGCTAGAAGGTCAAGATCATAGTCATCAGTTGACATTTGATTATAGGCTTTTTGTTTTCATTCTGATATGTCACAAATAATTACATCCATTTCCTATACTGAATTTAGGGTGGAGGCATATAAGACACAGTCGCATTATTTTTTTATTTTTTATTATCCTTTGATTCAAAATGTAAGGAATTGGAATATGTACAGAAAGAGCAAAAATTGAAGAACATTCTTAGAGTCGATTTTCAATGTAGTACATTCATTCATTCAAAATGGTTCATCTTGTCGCCAAAAGGCTGAAGTGCAAAAGTTTACAATTACAGTACATTGTTATATCAAAATGTACATTAAAACATTGACAATAAAAAGACATTATTAGAGTATCATGAATAGAATAAAAGCAACTGCCTAGAATGATCAAGAAATGGGCATTAAAATCAATAAGACGTGTTGAATTAAATACGGTAAGGTAAAATATGACGATAGAGGGAAAAGGAAACATCCAACAATGATGAAGGAGAGAGGGAGAGCGAGGAGAAACAAGAGGGGAAGGAAAGAGATTAAAAAATAAGACATGAAGAGAGAAGACATGAAGAGAGAAGAAAGGATGTGTGTGTGAGGAGAGAGATGGAGATAGACAGAGAGAGAGTGAAAGGGAGAGGGTAGAGAGAGAAAAAGGGAAGGATGAGTTAAAGGAGTGACACGAATATACAGCAGATGGTAACTTAAACAAGATGCAAGAAATAACATAATCCTCGATATAAAAATAAAAGTGTTATCTTAAAATACTAAAGGCACTATATTTGTTGTAATGATGTTGTAATATAATAGTACTATACAATTGACTAGAACATATTGAACAATATATCGGGCAGGCATTGCATAGATTTTCATTTAGTACTGTGATGAAATATGGAATTGCACTATCCCTTTATAGCATGCTTGTACATGCAGTATCAATAAAAAAAAATATAAAAAATGGAATAATCATATTAGTACAGCATCGACATATATGGCCTTACCTTATTATAATTGATCAACTAGAATGATCATTCATATACACACTGTATTTATATCATAAGTACATTTACAAGTAGTGTATAGGCTTGCTCAGATACGGCATGGTAAATGCCACAGAAACACTCATTTACATGTAAATGAACGGAAACTATGTGCAACAATGTACTTGCACATATTCACCGAGCTCTGTATTATAAGATTGAGCAATGTGAAGCGTATTACACTTCACGACATAAAAAAAATGCCGCATACATATTTATATATATATATATATATATACACTATATTCTGTACAAGTAGTGTATAGGCTTACTCAGTTATGGCATGGTAAACATCCCAAAAAAATACTTTAAGTGTAAATGAATGGAAACTGCGTGCAACAAAGTACTTACAAATATTCACTGAGCTCTGTATTATAAGATTGAGCAATGTAATGCATCTTACACTTTACGTCATAAGATACCGCCACGGTTTTGCTGCGAGCTGACTGAGCCTCACAATGAATATGAGCTAGTAACTCCCTTTTAACTACATGTATAATATAAAGATGGCAAAACCTTTTATCCTATTTTTTTTTATGAAGCTTTCCTAGAAGTGACACCCTGAAAAGATTTGATACATCTGTACAACTGTTTTTTTGTTTGCATTTTATTTTTATGTTTTTATGTTATTTATCACAAATATACAAGGAGCGACTAGGAAACGACAGAAATGTAATAATCACATTATTTCAAAACATAAGCAATTTAATAAAGAATATCCCTATTACAGTATCTTTTTTAATACCAAAAAGCTATTTATGTGAAACCTGTGTATAAAGGCCACTCAAGGGAGACAAGAAAAGCAAGCCTTTTATAGGCATGTTATCGTTATGTATAGACTGGCGTTTTTTAAATTTTTTATACAGGTGAAGCATGATAGACGATGAAGCTGTCTACCATCATGTAAAATACTCGCTAAATGTTTTAAGATGTCTTTTTATATGGAGGTATAATAACGAATACATTTAGAGGCTCAAAAACAATTCAGATTGGTGTCCTAAAATTTATAGCACCATATTATTTGGAACCCAATATACAAACACGATATGACGGAAGATGATAAGATAACAGGTCATAAACATTAAAAACGGATATCAAATCAACAAAATACAAAAATAGAAGCAGATTTCACAACATGGCAGTATAAAAGACATTCAAATACGGTATGCATATATCTACAAATGATGTTGATGAAAATACCCAAAAAATAAGCATATCATAAATACTAAAAAAATGTAAAACAATATGATTATGCAATAGTAAGGCAACGCCGTAATATAAAATTTATGAAAATGACCCTGTGCTTCCAATATACATGTACAGGAGTTAACATTAATACTAGAATAACAGCAATCAAAGCAATACATGAAAGCCGTCGGCCGTCTGGTTGCTTACAAGCATTTATGCTTTCTTAGCAGTCAGGTTAAATAACCATCACATCACAAACAACTATAAGATGGCACTGACATGCGACCTTAGAACATGAGAGAAAACAGGCTAAACTGGTAAAATATCAAATTAATAACATAATTGAACATGAATATCACAATCTACAGATTTACATCACTTGTTTTGACCAGTGGAGAACGGATTAGAAATAACAATACTCGATGATTATTTATGTCTACAATATATTGTTTATTCATCTTTATTCAAGAAAATGCATATAACATAATGATAAAGATGTTACATAAACCCAGGTCAGAGATTTGAATTACATTTGATGCATCTCATGCAGGGTAAAACAATTACAATACCAGAACGGAAAGAAAACAGTATAACAGAAAAGAAAACATTATATATATATATATATACATTGCTGAAAGACTTGTTTATTGCACTATAGATATCTTGTATAGATATTTCACACATCACAAATATTTAATTTCATTCTCTTTCTGTAACATAATGATATGCGTCAACCTACTTCAATCGCTTACAGATAAAGTTGGGTTCTTATCATAAGATTGAATAGTCAACGGAATTGACTGCAAGTGATTAGAAAAGTAATGTTGCATAAAACTGTGTATTGTGAGGTTATGGGGTCATCATTTCAATAAGTACATGTTTGACTTAGTCTTGCTTGAAAGCCACATAGAATGATCTCAGATATGACTACCCAAACATTTGGTATGAAATTAGGTCCAGATATTACAGAAATTAATTGTCATATATCCACTACGAAAACATTTACTGAGCCATGTTTTCAGGGTATATTTCTTTTTGTGGTATTCTTCCACACCAACAAAAGAAGAATGAAGACGACTCAGAATTTATTTTTGGCCTCTCCCAGAGCTTAACCTATGAACATGATAAAATGGCACACGTCAAAGAATAAATTTGAAAGCCATCAAGAAAGTGGGGTCTGACGACTTGTCTTCTTCTAATCTTTCTCGATCTTGAACGTCCATCCAGAACATCATCCTCAGAAACATGGCTCATTGTTTGTCCTCTCTTGTTCAATCATCTTCATCTGTAGATCAAGGAGGTGAAGTCTCTCGGTTTGTCTTTCTCTTCCTCTTCCTTGGACGTACATCCAGACTGTCATCCGCGGAACCCTGGCTATATTTACGTATGGAAAAAAATAATTAATCAACACGTTATTAGACGAACCAAAAGTAAGGGGTAAAAATAAAATTAGGCAAGGTTTGTTCGGCGTTAACCCTTACTGTACTGAGCACCTCCTTGACTGGGGGGGAGGGGGTGGGGGATGGGAGGCCCCCCCCCCCCCCCATGATCTCGGCAGTCAAATGTCTGATTAACATTAAATTTCCATCCTTGTAGATATTCACATAAGGAACAAGATGGTATAATTAGTTTTTTCCCAAAATGCAAATTTTTGTAGTTATAGCCTAATTAACTATGCAAAATGCTATTTTTATGCATTTTACAAAAAAACTCTACACATATGTCTCTAGACTTGTGAAGAATCTTGAAAATGTATTGAATAAATGTTTCGTTCATTTCAAATTTATGAAGTTTTATTATTTTTATGTTTAAAAATGCATAGGTTAATTTGCATCAATTTTGAATACGCAAATTACGCATTCATGAATGTCAAAACTGCAAAAATATATACAGGGACAAAAATTGTCAGACTCCACTTTTTGAATGTTGAAACTCATTATTCACATGTAACTTCTTTTCTTACACAAAATATTTATTTTAGTGATTTTTTTGTTTTTGTTGAAAGTAGTTTAGCACTGTGAGCAAAGCCTAAAACAGTAATTTCAGCCACTTTCTCACTGCAGAATAATATTCCTCCACTACCCATCTGCATATCACTGCTCATATCTGAATAAAAAATTTGAAATTCATTATTTTGTTTTCTGATGTATTGTTTTTTTAATTTTTTTATTATATGTATAGTTTTATTTCTAATGTATTCTTTTGTTCTGGAATACATAAAGTCACTTTGAGATTTAACATATCAAAGCAATTTGATATCAATTCATATCTCCCACTTACAACGAAATACATCTAAATCTGTATTCACATTTCTGCTTGTATGTGAACCTATGCAATTATAGCACTTTTTGATGACATGCGCATTCTAATTGTTATTAACACCTTAAAGGTATAACTGATTTCAACAAAAATATTATGATAATGTGCGAAAGACTGAGGGAAAAAATTAATGAAACAACAGTTCATGTTGCACCAGTTAGAAGCTTTGCATAATTACTTTATATACTTCGCTAAATCTCCAACCTCTGCATCCTGTAAGATTTCCTCAAGCTTGGCCATATTACCACCAGTCCTTGTCTTCCACTTTGCCAAGCAATCCCTCGTAGCTCCCTCGCAATCTTCTTTGAATTTGCCTAGGATGTTGATAGCTTCATCGTATCCAATGTCAATATGTCTGCATAGCGTTATGTAATTCTTACGAGGCACGTGTTTTGATAGTGTATCAAGTATTCTCTCTGACTCTAGATCAATCCTGAGGAATGAAAGAACAATTAATACAATATATGCAACCTGATGGTGTCACTTTATATTTATAGGGGCCCCCTTTCATTAATGGGGATGTGAAACCTGATAAGTTTGTTTTGAAAGCAGAATTTTTGTGTGGGTTAATTGTCGTTGGGGGGGGGGGGGGGTATACTTGTCCGACTGATAATTGGCTGGGGGGGGGGTAATTGTCCAGGGGTTTTTGTCCTAGAACCCACACAAAGTAGCCTACTTTCATGAACACAGGTACATATTCATTCACATGTTTGCTAACATCATTTGGATGTTTTTACCTAGGACTCATGCATACCGACTGTACAAAAGTTATATCTGAACCTCTTTATAAAATAAAAGTTGGTGTGGTGCCCTGTATCATGCATACACAAAGTCAAGATGAAGTGTTACCAGTGGGACACTGTCTTACTCTAACAGTACTATAGTAACTAGCCTTCATACCTTGATTGCTTCTCTGGAATTTCAGAATCATCCTGTGGAGCTCTTGACTGAGTAGAAGGAGCTTTCCTCTTGCAAGGCCTGCTCTGACTTCTGCTACCTTCTGATTCCAGATCAGTCCTGAGGAGTAAAAGAATGATTAATACAACCCTTGCAACCTAATGGGGTCACTTTACTTTTATGGGTCTAAGAGTGGAGCGCCATGCACGCGTGTCAAGTTTGAAATACATAAGTGCTACACTAAAATCCACTATTATTAGGTGGTCTGTCTTACCGTACAAATGATACTGGAATGAAAGAAAAATCACTGCAGAATAACGGATCCTGTACAAGATTATGATGTTGATTCCACAGGATAAAAATACTGTTGTTGGCAATGGAACAGCTGATCGCGGCGAAGGTGAAAGTCTACTTCCGTACTAGAATTATGTCTCGGCATGCTCTGCGATGAAACAACCGCAAAGGCACGTATTACAAGAAAAAGTAATGCAGATTAGAAAATCCAATAGAAGCAACAACAAAACAAAACAAAAAGAGTACATGTAGTGTTGAACACTTGGACATAGATTGGTTAATACATACGGTGATAGCCTTGACACCAATGGTGTTTGTGCACCGGCATGCATTGAAAAGCATGTTGCTGCTGCTGTTCTTGCTGTTGTTCTTGTTGTATCTTTATTTAAAAGAAAGAGAAAATATGAAAAGATAGAAGATTGTAAATTCATAAAAAGCCAAGTCAATTATGGGTTATGTCATGAAAGCACAATTTTTTAATCAGATTTAGTCCAGATTCAATGACATGACATAATAATACTTCTGCAAGGCACCTAGAGACATTGAATATGTATATATACCCATACTATTATTCTTACTTTTATTAATTTTAGTACACAATATAGGAAAAGAAATATATCTGCTGATATTCATTGGTTATTGTTTTTAAGATAATTTTGGGTTCCATATTATATTTCTCTGTACTAAATAGGGTAGGGGAAACCCAGGTACGGGTTGACGCCTGCACATCCCAATCAGTTAACCAGGGAAGCGAGATCCCAGGCATGAGTATTAATATTAATAATAATAATGACAACATTCACAACAACAAAAATGATCACAACAAACAACAATGACAATATACAGTAGGCTTACGATTGCACCATGTGAGAATGGGGGGGGGGGGGGGATTGGGGAGTCCTGAAAAGGACTGTCGGTAATCTCTCTTTCTTGAGTGTGTGTGTAGTCCTAAAAAGGACTGTTGGTATTAATCAAGCAAAAACAACACATCATTTTTCTTGCCTTATTTGTAATCGTTCACCTAACTTTCACCTAAAATGATTTTACATACTTATAAGCACTACTGACAATAATGATGATAATAATGTTGATACACAAAGAACTACACAGAGCATATACGTACCACCATATGGCAAGATAAATTGAATCAAAGTAGGGTCAGAGACAGACCCTCTTTGATTCAAGGTGAATTTGAGAATTTCTGGGCTTGCCCCTGACTCAAGTGGCTTCAGTTCAAAGGAGAATTGTTTCCTGCCAACGAGGTTGATATCCTTTCTACCTAGTGTCTATTTTAAAAGAAAAAGGAATTCAAGGAAATTAGTTCATTTACAAATTCATTTCCATTAAAAAACAACTTATAATGTATAACATGTAGCTAAAACTACATCACGCCTGTGAATAAAAACGATCATTCTCAAATTGTGTATAAATCACTTAATCACAGGCCTGCATAATCATACATGGACAAACGGGAATTAAAAAATAAAAATAACAAGGTGCAGAGAGAAAGATAGAGAGGGACAACAGGGCAATTAAAGTGCCCTGTCTGCTGGTTCCTCTTGAATCAAATTTTCTTAGTTCTGTGATTTAAAGGATGCAAAGTTATTGTGAATTACACACTTTTATGAAGAAAAAAAAATTGAAATCACGGATGATAAGAATTAAGCAGAAATGTAATGAAGATACTTGAAATACACTGGACATAACAAAATATATGAGAGTAGAGTTTTCGCCCAGTGTAGCTGTGCACAGACTGTATTCTACTATTAAATTTCATAATGTTCTCTAGATACCGGAATACCATTTTTTTTAAAACCATTTATAATCATCAAAAAGGAAGACCCTCCCTTTTTTTAAACAAAGAACAAAACAGACTTAACAGAAAGGATGTGGGTGCATTTGAGGTGTGTGCATGGGCATGTAATATTGAATGGAAAAAAAAAAAATTATGAACAAAAATGTGTGTAGGAGCACATGTGTGCTGGTGCTGGTGCCTGTGTGTGTAAGTGTCTTTGTTAAGGGTGTGGGGGGGGGGGGGGGGGGGGGGTAGAAATGGCAATACATGAAATCAGATCCTTACAATTCATTTATTTATCCACACCTCTAGCTTTAAAATACAGATCATACCTGCTCTTCAATTTTCTTTTCATTTTTCTTTGGGCCTTCGAACAACTTGATATCGATATCTCCATGCTTCCATTCTACGAACATTGGCTGGGACGGAAAGATCATTTTGACCCCTGTCATTTCTTTTTCTATTTTCTGTTGGAGGAAAAAACAAATTATATAAGGTCTAGAAGATCTCTTGATCTCTCTCTACAGTTAAACAATAACATATTCATACCCTTACCAATATATGGAGTTGTTTAAGTATGTGGAAAATTGATTTGTTGTCTCTATACATGTGTTTATATTATGTAGACAGATGTATACAAAAATATATTATTTTTTATTTTATTTTATATAAATTTCAGTGGCGAATTCAGGGGACAAATTGAGTACCGGTAAATAGAGAAAATATGTCCTTATTTGTGCCCCTAGTCACTAATTAAGACTACAAAAAGCTGCTCAAAATGTGTTGACTTTAGTTTCTTTCTTTTCTGGAAATTTGAGGAAAAAAATTATTATCTCATTCTTAATTTTCTTGTTTAATTATCTTTTTTGCCTTTAAAATTCTTGTAGAATATCTGCCAACAAATGTAACCCGGCCGTCCAAAAATTACCCACTGGCACCCCAACGCCCTAATCTCTGTCTCACCTCAAAAAACCCTGAGAGATCGTCATAGATGCAGAGATAAACAAAGTGGGTGAACTCTTTCCAGACAGGTGGTCGTACATATGGCAAGCAGTTGACCCTCTTTCCAACAAAGTACCAATTGTATACAGCCACAATCCACCAATCGCAAAAATGATCTACGTAGAGATCCAAGTCTTTTGCTCTGACAGTGCAACGCGGGTAACGGCTGGTGGATGCAGGAATTCTTACAAAAGATTCTGAGTCTACAAAGACAAGATTTATAACAGAAATATTTGGTCTACATTAAATTGCACATTACATGTATTACATTTGCAAAATTATTATTGAATCTATGAAAAGAAGATATATAAATATATATAATCCGGCAAGTTATTGAGAGACAGCATATTAATATCTCTGCATCATCTTTCACAATAAAAAACAAACCAAGGTCATCAGCCCATTCCTCTTTCTTTTCTTCCACCTATTCTATCCCCTTATTTTTAGCCAGGGAGGGTGTCATGTGGCCCAGGTGCCCCCCATCGGATCAACCACTGGTCCATATATCAGTTATCATGAAGCTTACGGAATTAAATCAAATTAAATATGAAAGGAAGCTGAAAGTGATGTGTATTATCATATTTTTTTAGGTTTAACGATACTTTTACTTATATTCATTGGTATATTTCTATGTCAAAATATGGTGTTGTTAGATGTAGTGCTGTAGCCGAATTGCCGAACCGAACATGGCACTTCCGAAGCAAACCAAGCCGAGCCGAGCCGAACGCAAAGGCCTGGTTCAAATGTTGGGCAGAAAAATATAACTGTTTTCGCAAGCTAATTAACTTGTCATTTTGTACCTAATTTTCATTTCATGATTGCTCATTCTATATTTGCTTTTTTCCCCCATTCAAGTTTCCTTCTTTGTGATTTATGCCACTTCACTGACACCATTTAAATCCCAAATCCTGACCTGTGCAACGTCATGATCGCAAGCTATAAACGTGAACGCACGTGCCTACTAGGCGCTGATCAAAACAAGTTTGGCTCAAACCCATTCAATACAAAAATGAATATGTTAATTGTTAAGATATCGGACATATTTTACAATATAAATAATGAAATAAATATATATTATAGTATTTTAATTTATTTATTCTGCAAAAATATGATTTTTAAAATAAAAAATAAACATTTATAAGAACAGTAATGGAACAAGCCTGGGCTACTATCTCTGTGTATACACCAATTTATGGTTACAACAGTGCACATGCGCAGACATGGGCGCCATTTTAACTTATGGGTAAACCACTGACCTCTAGAGGTCAGTGGTTTACGCGTAAATTAAGACGGCGCGCATGCAAATATGATGTGAGCGCACAGCGCAGGCAGTGACGCAACAGTACATGCGCATCTGAAGACATTGATGACGTCACTGCCTGCGCTGTGCGCTCACATCATATTTGCATGGGCGCTATGAAATGTCCGAATATCTGTTTGGACTTGGAGGAAAATTTGTCAGTCATCTTTAGTATTAAAAACAACATTGTTACTATTATTTGTGACAAGTTCACAAGCACTTCAACTGCGTCTCGTAATAAGATAAAGGTCTTCCCAGCTAGCATGGGTACCCGGTAGGCAAAAATTATATTACCGAACCACGAACCTAAGTTTGGGTAAAAAATTGCTGAACTCTGCCGAACCGAATCAAATCTGAATATGGCGACGGACTTACAGCACCAGTTAGTTGAAAAAGAAAATTCAGCTGCAGTGAAGGTTGTGGATCATTTATGGCTTGCGGTTCACTAATTTCCTTTGTCAAGACACTAATCTGCATATACCACTTCATCCAGGTGATGTATATGAGTACCTGGTAGGCAAAAAGACCTTGATTGCCAGAACGCTTTATCAGAGTAGCTTGGTTAATCCCACTAAGAATCATTAGCATTAAGCACAATATAAACATTTATTCTATTATTTTCAAATCCCCCTAACCTTTGTTACGCGTGTAGAAGACGATTTCTGCACGTCTTGGATTAGAGAAATGTGCATTATGGTCCAATGTGACCTTGATAGGCTCGCTAAGCTTAGCTCCAGATGGCGAGAATCTGATGCCACATGATATTACTGCTTCATCATCTTGGAGGTTAAGATCTTGAGGAATGTCTGTCAGAAAATCCCAGTGGACTTGGTTGCCATCTAAAATATAGAGGTTAAAGATAAAGACTAGCTATGGTCATGCGTTTGCATTGTGAAAGATACGTTGTATTGGTGTGTACTGCTAGGTTTTGGAATCATCAAAATGATAAGAAATTTGGTCAGTCTTGGTAACGTTACAAGCACTGTACACAGAAAGATGTATATGGGACTACCCCCACACGTGCGTTATATCTATCAGGTCCAAATAGATATAATAAATTACCAAATATATCAATTAGTAGGCGGTTTCTTTGCAAAATTTGTATGATCACGTACCTATTAGTCAAACCATATTCTTTCACATGATTGGTAATAGGAGCTTCCATTTCATTTTTGAGAGGGGGGCGTTTCCAAAACTGGTGTTTACCTTTAATAGGATGTACAATTTGTTACCTTTTCTCAAATGTAAAAGATTGCATAAACTATTTCTAGATTTGTACGATGATCACCACCACTATCACCACCGCATCACACTAGTATCGCCATCATCATCATCCTTAGATCATACGCACCCATGTGCGCATGCAGACAAAAATGAGGGAGCGGTTAGTGCGTGACTTTGTGTGGGCATATATTCCTGCTACATGTTAAAACAAAATGACAGAATTCCAGGCAGCTGCAGACATGCATTATCTATTCTGCAGCTTGGCAAATTGCTAGCATGCAAGTCGGCTCAGTTTTAAACAAAAAGTTTTCTATGCCCTCTCAGACTTTTCATCTGAGACTTTTGTCGTGAATTTGCACTTACCGTCTGTTGTGTCAAGGCGCAGCCTTCTTGATTCTTGGCTGTTAATAAAACATACCGGTTCACATCATCATTAAATTTTAGTCCCTCATCATCATTTTGATTCTTGTGTTAACAACATAACATTGGCCACAAAGATGTTGAGTAGCAATTATTATTATCATCATTTTTATTGTTCATTATCATTATCATAAGTGATTATTAGCATTAATATCAGTTATGATATTATCATTAATAGTAGTATTATTAGTATTGTTATTATTCTTTTCATCTATATCATTATTATCATTAATCCACAATTATTATAGTGGAGTAAAAAATAACCTTCCATTTTACATAAAATTACAAAAGATTTTTTTTACCAAATGTGCCCCCTTTTTTCACACAAAGTAGCCTACTTTCATGACCACAGGTACATACTCATTCAAATGTTTACTAATGCCTATAGGCAGGGCTGTCAACTTTGGGAACTGCTTCGAGGGAGATTGTATGCAATTTTTGTTTGGCTCAACAGGGAGGGGGGGGGGGGGGGGGGGGTGTTGAGTAAGAAAAAAAAAAAACGTTGAGCAAAAAAACACATACAAGTACGCTGGTTCATTTTACACGTTTGGCGGGAGGTTTTTTCATAAACCGGGAGATTGAGGAAGGGCGTGGTGGCGGGATCGAGTCTCCCGCTACGAGCTGGTGGGACGGCGGGAAATGAGCATGGTGGCATGAGACTCCCTCCAAATGCGGGAGGGTTGACAGCCCTGCTATAGGTCACAGTTAATCTGGACGTCAGGCGATGTATGAATCTTTAGGCATCGTGTGAAGTGTCGAGGTTGAGGCGCAGTCGGGGTGACACGACATTTGCTCCTGCGACAATTGCTCCGGGCTTTATTTCGTCTAAGATGTAGGGTTAGGGTTAGGGTTTCAATAGGGTTTTATGCTAGGTTTAGGGTTAGGTTTAGGGTAGGGTATAGTGTTGAATCCAGGGTTGAAGTTAGCCATTCGATTAGTGTATGAAATTTACAGCGGAGCAATTGTCGCCGGAGCAAATGTCATGGAATCGCAGTCGGGCAACAGATTAGACATGAAAGGGGGCCCATCGGGTAATCCCAAGATAAGCGGCAGGCAATCAGCAGACATGTTGTCAATTTTTTGAGTAAACATAGAATGGTGTATGGCCGACAACCTTCTGATGTCCCGCCGATTACTTTGTGGTGACCGGTGGAACGTCGGCTGATATGTACACATCGGGCGGACATCAGTCGGACATGGGCGTTAACGTCTGTGCCCCCAGTTTGTGCAACTTTCGTAAGTACAGCTTAGAATATTATTCCAGTCACACAAGCGTGTACCGCAGAGGCAGCGTTCCAGGGGGGGAGGCATAGTGCCCTCCCCCCCCCCCAAAACATGCTTTTCTATATATAGGAAAAGTGCCTCTTTGTCTCTTCCCCTTCAGATAAGTGCTCCTTTTCATCTTTGATAAGTGCCCCTTTTATTTTGTCACATGCCCTTTTTCTTTCTAATAAGAGCCCTTTTCTCTTCTCATAAATGCCCCCCTTTTCACCTCTGATAAGTACCCTTTTAAAATCTGAGAGGTGCCCCTTTTCCCACGAGAGACGCCTCTTTTCCTTGGACGCAGGGGAGAAAGGTTCCCGGGTAAAGAGGAAGAGCTTCAATCTTGAATCTTACGAAAACTCTTAGTCTTGTCCAAGCACCATTTAAATGCACCAGACTTAGTCCTCCTTGACCAAGGTGAAGTTAAAGAGAGGGTTGAGAAAAACCGCACCGGCTCGGAGGTAACTGACTGGTTCTTTTTTAAAAAGGAGGGCCCGGGTATAAGTCTAATGCCCCGTCTCGGACACTAGGTCCGGCCTCAGCGAGAGAGGAATAGGATATTCGTCCAAAAGAGACAGAAGTCAGAAATCTCCGATTTAAAAACCACCGGTAGCAGAAAACCCGCCGGGGAGCTCGTCGCCTCAAAACAGCAGTGACGGACTCTGATTACCCTCAGAGTAAGCTGGGGAAATGTGTCGAGATATATTTTCTCCAGAGAAACCTGCGTAACAGTCCTCAAGGTCTAGTCAGCCATAGGGCTTAGCTCCAGTGAGAACCAATCACAGATGCCGAAGCCAACTGTGAGATAGGATTTCAGGGTCCCAGAGGGGGAGGGCGAGTCCCACTCCAGCTACCCACCCCTCCCTTGGAGTAGCAAGGGTAGTGGGAGAAGGGAGCCTAGCCACCACCAATTGGTAAAAGGCTAGCCACAGCACAAAGCCTCTCAGAGGCTGAGGTTGGCAAGACGGTCCACGAAACTATATCGGGTACCAGATTACACCAGACTGGAGGCTGGATGTCAGAAGGATTGTGCTTCTTACCTGATGACAAGGGGGAGTATGACCAGGTCCGCCCCGCTCCACTGCGCCAGAGGCTGAAAAAGCTTGACAATGTAAACTTTTGTGAGACCGAAACCCTTGGGTTTCACAGACGTGGATTGAACAACGTCGTTAGTGAACCGGGTTCCCTCCCAAACATGAAAATATGGGTCGTTGCATTGCGGCAAAGCCGTAAGACACAGAGCTTGGCCTAAAAGGGGAGCTTAGTGTGACGACTTTTACCTGACTGGCTGTCCCCGTGGGCGTCGCACCGTAATACCCGCTGGTGTCGGGTGAGAGATGTCTCAAGCCTTAACTTGTGACGCCCTTTCTCGCCCCTGATCCTGTCCAACCAAGCTCACTTACCAGTGAGCTGGTCATGGCAACCGCAACCGTAACTAGAGGGGGAGATCTCTGGAGAAGTAAAATCCCCTTAGTCATAAGATACCTGTCACCGGACTGGCAAACCTCCGTCAGGTGTATTCCCGTGGAGGGAGCCCCTTGTCTGAAGAGAAGGGAAGCAAGAGCCGCATTCGGCTGAGCCAGCGCGAAGGTCTCAGGCAGGTACTTCTCCAGGAGAGTATGCGCATCGGCTGCCCAACCACAAGGGTCTTGGGGGCCACGCTGGCAAGTGACTCGAAAACAGAGTAACCATTCTGATCCTCGAAATCAGCTACGTGTGGAACCTGGCCTCAAGGGGTATGGTGCAACCACGAGGTGGCAGTCTCTTTGCCGGGAGGGGCGCCAAGTGCTGCCTGGATAGGAGGGGCAGCTCTGAGCTGCCGGGATTGAGCATAACCGGGTTCCAAACCAGTATGAGAAACCGGATCCGGAAAGATCAGGTACAAACCCGGATTGAACCTTAAGGTCGGGTCAGGTCCAAACTCAGCGAACCCGGAACGGGTTGAACCGGACCGGAGCTCGGGTCAACCGAGTCCAAGGACCGGACATCGCATCCAAGGAAGGTTCGTACCACACCCAATCGCTCTCCTCAGCAAAGAGCTTCAGGTATTCGAGAGGCTCAGCTTGATTGACCGCCGCAGGGAAGGGGTTGGCGTCTGAAAAGAGGCCTTACACTTCTTCCCAGTCTTAGTCTAATGTGTGCTCAAGGCAGACTTCGACTCGACTACCTGCAGGTGGGGTTTGCCGACAGAGACGTCGGCACCTTGGCCTTACGTACTCGACGGGCCCGTGCTCAGCAGGGCGGTCGGATGCTCATGCGGGGGATTAGGTTGGTAAACTGACAACCCCAGAGTTGAAATGTTGAGCCAGGCGGGCGCCGAGGCAGCAAATAACCATGAACGGGGCTCGAGTGATTGCGGTCGGAAATTTGATGACACTCTTGCTCATGTACCATGCAGGTTCATTTTTACCAGAACACAGCCTTCTCTTTAAAATATGTTATAGATTGGTTACATACTGTGATAGCATTGACACCCCTGCTACTTGTGAACCGGCATGCGTGGGAGGGAATGTTGCTGCTGCTTCTACAGCTGCTGCTGTTGTTGTTGCTCGTAAATCTTTAGTTCAAAGAAAGGAAAAAGATAAAAAGATAGAAGATTCATATAATTCATATAAAGCCAATTCCATTATGGTTTATGTCAGGAGAGCACAGTATATTATGCTGGTCTTAAAGTCCAGATGCAATGATATGGGTAATAATATTTCTGTAAAGTGCAATTTATTATTCTTACTATTATAAATTGAAGTACAAAATATAAGACAAGAAATGTATCGACTGATATTTATTGCTTATTGCTTTTAATATACTATGTGTGTCAGTGGCGGATCCAGGCCCCCCCCCCCCCGGGAAACAAAAACGTGATTTTTACCTTATTTGGGCGTTCAAGGGGGTGCAAATTTTCGAGGCCCCCCCCCCAAAAAAAAAATGTGCTCACTACCCCCCCCCCCCCCCCCCCCCCCCCCAGCGAATTTTCGACCGGCGCGATTTTCAAATTTTTGGGAGCAATAAAAATGGGCCCCCTCCCCTAAGAAATCCTGGATCCGCGCCTGATGTGTGTACCATATCACATTTCTCCAAAGCAAATATGTTGGGAAACCCAGGTACGGGTTGCGCCACCTGCACATCCCAATCAGTTATACAGGGAATCGAGATCCCAGATATGATTAATTATAATAATATTGATGATGATAACAATAATGATGACGATAATGATGATGATAATGATAGTGATTATGATATACGAAGAATTACAGAGCACATACTTGCCATTATACTTACCCCCCCCCCCCCCCCCCTCCCCAATGAAATCCTCAGAATATAATCAGCATTTTGAAGTGAATATTGACCAAGAGTCATCGGAAGAATTATTTACTATAATTTGTACCAAGTACTTTTGTTTCAGTAAATGAATTATTTATCCGCCTTAAAACTAGAAGAAGAAAACAATTTTTGATTTTTGACTATACAAAGCTAGGTAGATAGGGTACCTTTGGGTTTCAAAGTTCATAATTTCTTTTTCCCCCACATTGTATTTGGAAAATCAGTTAAGCCTGTTAGTCTTTGGAGAAGTAAACAGTGGTATAATATGATAAGTTTTAAACAAATTAAAATAAATAAATGTTGTTTGTATTGGGAAGATGTCTTGCAGAAGGACGTTAAATGGTCCTCTGTTTTTAATAGGAATTTGATTGGGATTAAAGAATTTCGTCTACATGGATTTACTTTCAAGCTTTTATATATGCTACCAGTTCATAAAATTCTGTTCAAGTGGGGTCTCTCATACGATGACCTTTGTTTAAAATGCAAAAAAGACTGAAGATGTGCTTCATGCTCTCATTTCATGTAAGGCAAATGAAACCTTCTTTGAATATTTAAAGGACTTAGTTTTACGTGCTTTCAATCTTAAAATAGAGATAGATATTGTTTTATTACTCAAAATGAATTCGCAAACCGAAATCGATTTGATAATGACGATTGCTTTTTGGTCTATTTATAAAATGATTATTTTAAGTATGCATGGGTATGATTATAGAGATTTGAATTTGATATATTTATTTATGAGAGAAATGACTAACAGAATAGAAATAAACGAACATTTGAAAGTACAAAATATGAAATTTCTTGCGAATTTGCTTAGTTATATTTGAATAAATAATTTGTGTATTATTGACTATTGAATAAACACCTCTAAGAGGCAAAGAGAGAAAAAACAAATTGACCCAAGATTAATAACTTAAATGGAATATGAAAAAATAACAAAAATTGATTTATTAATCCTCACAAACTGACCTAAAATGACCTTTGACCTTGATTTTGTGACCTGGAATTTGAACAAACACTTTTGAAATTATGCTAAAAATTCAAAATATTGATGTTGATACCACAAAAAAGTCTAAGTTTGTTGCATGACCTGAAATGACCTTTGACCTTAACTTCGTGACCTGAAATTCTACTCACATGAATGGGGATACTTGATAACCATTTAGTGTAAGTTTCATTGAATAAGAACTTATACTTTCAAAATTATATTAAAAATTCAAAAACTTAACCTAAGGTTAAGTTTTTGATAATGACGCCACAACATAGTCTAAGTCTATTGACCTGAAATGACCTTTGACCTTAATTTTGTGACCTGAAATTCTACTCACATGATTGGGAATACTTGATGACCCTTTAGTCCAAGTTTCATTAAATGACAACTTATACTTTCAAAATTATACTAAAGTTCAAGGTTAAGTTTTTGAGTGTTGACGTCGTCGCCGCAGCCACCGGAAAACCGGCGCCTATGACGCTTTTTGCCATGCAGGCGAGACAAAAACGGCACACAAACACACACATAAACACAACAACAATAAAAATTATTTAAAAAAAAACAAAAAAAAAACATACTGTCGTATTTACTTCTAAAAAGCATACAAAATACCACCATCATTACCACCACCATAATCATCATCTCTATCCGGCGAGTGTGTTTACTTTGTGTGGGCCGGCATATATTCCTGCTACATGTTAAAACAAAATGACAGAATTCCAGGAGGCTGCAAGCATGCATTATATATTCTGCAGGTTGGTAAATTGCTAGCATGTAAGTCGGCTGATATTTTGAGGGAGAATTAAGAAGTCAATTTTTTTTTGTGTTGCTTTCGAACTAAAAGTTTTCTATTCCCTCTCGGACTCTCCACATCTGACACTTTTGTTGTTTATTTACACTTACCGTCTGTTGTGTCGAGGCGCAGCCATCTTGGGTCTTGGCTGTGAATAAAATATACACATCACCATTAAGTTCTTAGTCCCTTGTTATCATTTTGATTCTTGTGTTAGCAATATAACATTGGTGGTGGAGATGTTGAGTATCAACCTAACCGCTCCTCAACCATTTGGGGAGACCTTCCCGTGCCATGGGAACAATGGTTTGCCAGTTTTTCTAACTACCTTGTTGCGAGCAGTTTGGACAGCTACGATGTAATTGACGCTTGCCGCACAGCGATCCTAGGAGTAGAGAGTCATGTATATTACATGTATATTGATGAAGAGACTTGCTAAAGCACTCACCTTCTCAACAGTAATATACACTAGGGTAAAACGCTAAAATTTCTCCCAAGTTTTTCTAGTAAATGTATAGACACCTTGAGAAATGGTTGTGTAGCTGACAGAAGGATGTTACCATGCGCGAATAACATAAAGCTACATAAAGCTAAACAATTAAGCCTTTAAGGTTTTGATTAAGGTGATAATATATGTGGAAATGGATAGTAAGTATAAGTAGTTTCGTATCAAATAAGCACATACATTACATGTTTTTGTTTAAAGTTACAGTACACAATATGCGAATACACCCGTCTGCCAGCCGCACAAGGGAATATCCTTAAATTTATGTCGACTTTTTAAAATGAAACATTTTTCAGGCTTCTTGTGAAGGACACAATATTTTTTTAATACCAAAATTTTGTATTCCGTTTATACAGTTAAACCTGACCCTCGGGTAAAAACCAAAAATTTAGACCTCGGACTATGTTAATAATAATAATATTCTAGGTTTATATAGTGATTGATACATCTATGATGTGCTTTAAAGAAATGTCATTACTCATGTCATATATCCACATTTTGGCCAGGCACCATTTTACAGTTCCTTTGTTAAACCCGATAATGAACAAAAGCCTAAACACAGTGTCACGTTAAAAGACAGGGTTGGCAAATTCCTTGAAAATGCCCGCAAATACTGGGAAATATCGTGGAAATTAATACTTGTACACATACTACTGAAATTTAAAAATGTGAAATAGCAAACAGCAATCTGGCTAAATTCCATCAATTACCCTTAAAAATGTTTCCTAGTTATTATTTTGAATAACTTCAAGGGTTTCTTAGATTGTTTGGATATTCAATTCATATTTTAAAGACATAAATTCAAGTTATGTTGAATCACCTTCTTATCTTATGTTAGTTACCCACAAGCTGTCAATTTCCTGGCACTACCTACATGTACATATGAGAAAAACATAACCTACAGAATAGTTGCTACATCTAAAATGTTTTAAATCGACATACAATCAAACATAAATTCTGGAAAAGTACAAAAATGGTTAGGCTCCTTTTACAATGGCACCATCCAGACTACAAAATGCTTAATGAAAATTTATAAGCTCAAAAAAACTAAATGGAACTTCGATGGCTCCACCATAGAGCAATTTCACAAACCAAAACAGAAGCAATTTTTCAATTTCAAGTTTAATTGTAATCCATTAACAGCTAGGTTCTCAGAATATCGTGATTACAAGCTATTTTTCATATACATGTATGAACCTTTTATCTTTGTCCTCATGACCCTAAAATCTAATCAGTTCATTGGCATTGCAAGATACATACATGTCTTGAGTTTGATGGTAATCCGTCCATCGGTTCTAATGATGTGATCACAAGCTATTTTTGCATATGTAATGAGCCCCATGGCCTTTGACCTTTAAGCTTGAGACCCCAAAATCTAATCAGTTCATTGGCTCAGCAAGTTACATACATGTCCTGCGTTTAATGGTAATCTTCTTCTTCTTCTGTTGAAGTACAGGCCACCATGTTGTTGGTGTATCTTCATACTTTTTGTGCAGATATATATGTACAGTGATGTGGAAGATCTAATCTATGTGCGGTTAAAAAGAACAGGCGCAATCCTAGCGCAACTGTGTTTTCTGCACCTCAGTCTTTAATCTGTCCATCGGTTTTAATGATGTGATCACAAGCTATTTATGCATAATAATGAGCCTTGTGACCTTTAACCTTTGACCTCGTGGCCCCAAAATCTACTCAATTTATTGGTTCTGCAAGATACATACATGACCTAAGTTTGGCAGGATTAATCCATCAATCGGTTCTTGAGATAACGCGATCACGAGAACAGGACGTACAGACGGACAAACCCAAAATAAATTGCCTCTGGCTACTTCGTAACAGAGGCATACAAATCAAATGCCCATCTTTGATGAAGATACACATTAATATAAAGGAGGAAGGACCTAGCATTGTCAGACTAGGGGGAAGGAGGCACAATGACCCATAAATCCCCCCCCCCCCATCCCAACCCTTGCTCGAAATCCAGTGGTATAAAAAAAAGTACATAAAATGAAATAGTAAACATAGCATTCTGACTAAATTCCATCAAAATTAAACACCCATCTTTGATGAAGATACACATTAATATAAGGAAGAGACCTCTACAGCATTGGCAGACTAGGGGGAAGGAGGCACAATGGCCAATTATAACCCCCCCCCCCCTTTTGAAATCATATTTACTGCACTGACCTTTGCGAACTTATGAGGGTGTGAAGAAATGAGTTCAAGTCATCTTGGGCAACTCCATTGAAAGTGAAGTTTTTCTTCCTGATTTGAGGAAAACAATCCTGTAACATAAAACAGCAACATTGTTTTAAAACTTGTATCGGTTACTAGTAAGTGGATCTATTTCATTCTGGCATATATTTTTTCTTGGGGAATATACACCTAAGAACTACAGTAACATCCCATAAACAAAATGAAAATGGGAAAAATAAAAGAGAAAGTATGGAGAATTACCAAAAGCTAGAGTAAAACAAATTTTGCACAAGAGATTTACACAAATTTCAAAAAAAAAATTGGTTAAATAATATGGCAATTTCAAGAAAACTGTAACATTAATAATATTGGTAGTTTACTGTAGTAGTACTGGTAGTACACTGTGGCAGTAGTAATTGAATAATTAAATTGACATAAGGCTTGGAAGCAAGCGCTGAGTACTCGATTCTTGTGGTTTAACCTTTTTAAATGATCAAATAAAAGAGTGGTGGAGAAGCACCCCACAAAATGAAGGGGGCACTCACAAAACAGGGCAACCTACAGTAAGCAGATAGTTGAAATAGGCCTGCTGCTCATCTATTGTTAGTGTTAATCACTGTGCTCGAAGTTATTGCTATACTGATGTTTACCGCAGAGGACAGTAGAGTGGATTATAGCGGAATGATCCAGATGAACAGTACATATATAAGAACTTCGCAGCAGGCCCATTTCCGATAAAAATGTACCTAGTAACTCCTGAAATATTTCTGTGGCATTTCTTGGACAACTCTTTGTCCAAGTTATGTATCTGTACAATAATTTTAAGTAGTTGTTGTCGCTCTCATTATGCTCTCATAGTTTTTAATGAAATATCTTGGTACGATCACTTGTTTTTGTTCAGGTTTTTTTCAGCATGTAAGACAACTAAAATACTACACATATACCTTCTGTGACGAGTCCAAACTTGCCTTGCAACAGCGATGAGTATCAAAACTTGGGATAACTAAGTAAATATATCAGTCTTTAAAAGAAACACAAGGTATTTATACTAAAAGAAAAGCACTAAACATTGCCATACATGGATGAAAATAACTTCATATGAGATATATTCCGATATTAGTCAAAGGTATTCAGCTGCTACGGTGAAATTTAAGCATAAAATAATGGAAACATTTAGATCTAACAACAGAAGTAGATAATGCAGATGTTTTCCAAGGCTGAAGTGTCATTTTCACAAACAAAAAATAACATATAAAAGTGCTCAGGCCATGTAATTATTACTGCTCTTTGTTTCTATCAAAGACCCTCTCCATGACATTTACATTAGTACACACATACCTGTATGGATGATGCCTTTGCTTTCAATGTAGAGTAGAACTCCTCATTGACATCCATTCGAAGTGTCAGGTCATTCAGTTTTGGCATAGAACAAAGTGCTTCTATTAGATGATGTGATGAGGCTGGTGTGGGACACTGGAAGTCTTCAAACTTCAGCGTCTGGACCTGCATTGTTTGTTAATATACTATAGTTCAGCAGCTAATCTATACATGAGTAATATTCACATTTTTAACAAACACAATTCAATAGTTTATTTTAATTCAATTCTTGTCTTACACTATAGTTTCAATCAGAAGGATGATCACGTAATTTCTGTTTTCTTTCAAATATCCTGTAAGTATCAGAGCTGCCAACCTGTCACTTTCAAAATACATATTATTCAGCTTGAAAAAACATATTTTTTAGGTGACAAAACAAATTTTGCCTGTTTTAACGTTTTTCATTATTTTCCCTATAAAATGCTATTGCAACTATGTTTCTTTGAATAACCATGCTTTCAATCATTAAGAGCTGCCGAGCTGTCAATTGAAGGAGTACAAACAAATTGGTAAAAAAAAAAATTAAGGAAAGAAAAATTGTATTTTCACAAACTAAAACATATATTAAATATATTTAAATGCATCACAGAATTTTAGAAAATCTGAAAATAAAACGCCAAGTCAATGAGTACGAGGGCTGCTGAAATGCTGCTGACCACACGAGGATGTTCTATGCGGAAGTTGCGGCGCCCATTGGTGCTTTATCGGGTCAAATCAAGGCAAGTTTGAGTTTCAATCAACTTTGTACATAAAGTCAATGGACCCATACTTCCAAAGTATGTGGGGGCTTAGCCCAGTTTTAAGAAACAGTTTTGACGCTAGTTCAGAAGTGTATCCAGACTTTGACCCGTAACTCCGACTTGGAGATACCCTACTAAAACATACCGAAAATCGACTACGGTAAACCTTCATAATGGTCATGATTTAAAAGTTGTTATGTTTTTTACCTGTTTCGTGTCAATTTTCTTATCTTTTGTGGAGTATTTGTTCTTAAATCAAAGACTTATAATATACACTTTCTCACGGGATGTTAAGTTAGCGACTGTAATCAAAACAATTTATCCTTACGGATGAATTGCTTTGATTACAGTCGCTAACTCAACACACTCGCGCACCCACACCCCACCGTTGCTATGGTATGCAATTGTATTGTGCAGTGGTTTGCCGTGAATCCCGTGAGAAAGTGTATATTATAAGTCTTTGTTTTTCGGAAAAATACTCCACAAAAGATAAGAAAATTGACACAACACAGGTAAGAAACATAACAACTTTTAAATCATGACCATTATTTGAACAATTGATGAAGATTTTAGTCAATTTTCGGTATGTTTAGTAGGGTATCTTCATGCCGGAGTTAAGGGTCAAAGTCTGGATACACTTCTGAACTAGCGTCAAAGCTGTTTCTTAAAACTGAGCTAAGCCCCCACATACTTTGGAAGTATGGGTCCAATTCTGCATTTTGACAGCAAAATTTGCCTTTTGGGATGGATTTTTGGAAGTGACATCGGGACTTTCTTGTACTACCGGTATAGTTAGTGAGTGACACTGTGTGTAGTGCATTGATATGTCATTTGCATGTGTACTGGATATGAAGATCCATACATGTTCTTTACTGTATGCATAGCTTGGGAAAATGCCCACGTCTTTGAGTGGTGTACATCCCCTGTATTGTGTGCAATGTGTATGCGTGCGCGCTGCAGGAATCGCCAACACAACTATGCATATACGCTCGTTCTCACAGCCAGCCATGTTCGCAAAGCCATACTCGGAACTTTCAAAAAAGTATTTTAGCACAGGAAAATGTAGAAACTAATACGTTAAAAAATGCACTACTTAGGAGCTCTGAAGTATTCTTCAAAAGACTTGAAACCAGTTTACCTAAATTAGTTCTTCTCCACCACTGAATTAAATACACAGAAATCTGCATTTCCTATGAATGTATTGATGGTAATCATAATTATGATTTTATGTGCACAGAACCTTAAGTCAGGAGGTTTGTGGCTATGGTACAGTTTAGGTTAATTCAAGCCTTTATCAAATTCTGCTTTAAAAAAAAAACGCACAACATAATTTCCTTATCAATTAATATTGGAAACCCTTGGATATTGATTATTTATCAAAATAATGTAAATCCTATACTGAATGTGATGCTGCCTGTAAAGAGTATCTTCCCTAGTAGTTTTGTGTGTTGCGAAAATATATTTTTTCCCTATTTTTTTCCTATTTTTTCCCTATTTTCTGGAAATGCAGACTATTTTTTCCCTATTTCCTTCAAGAAAATAGGAAAAAAATAGGGCTATTTTTTTCCTATTTTCAAGCACAAACTATTTTTTCCCTATTTTTTTCACCTATATTTTTTTTCAGACTATTTTTTTCCTATTTCCTATAAAAAAACAGGAAAAAAATAGTCCTATTTTTTTCCTATTTTCAAGTACAAACTATTTTTTCCCTATTTTTTTCACCTATATTTTTTTCAGACTATTTTTTTCCTATTTCCTATAAGAAAACAGGAAAAAAAATAGTCCTATTTTTTTCCTATTTTCAAGCACAAACTATTTTTCGCCCATTTTTTTTACCTTCAACTTTTATGGACTATTTTATTCCTATTTTTTTAAAAGAAAATAGGAAAAAAATAGTTCTATTTTTTCCTATTCTCGAGTACCAAACTATTTTTTCCCTATTTTTTCACCTTCATCTTTTTCAGACTATTTTTTGCCTATTTTCTCAAAAAAAATTGGACTATTTTTTCCCTATTTTTTCATCTTAATCTTTTTCAGACTATTTTTTCCCTATTTTTTCACCTTGATCTTTTTCAGACTTCTTTTTACCTATTTGCGAGTACTATTTTCTTCCTATTTTTTGCACTTAAATTTTTTATGACATGATACAAATTTGTAAACTATTTTTTGTCTATTTTCTAAACTTGCATATTTTCATTGTTTATGACTGGCATCCTATTCAAAAAGCCCGCTTCTCCTGCCATTATCTCTGTTGTTCATTTTGCGACTTATTGGTTGTTTTTAGCTGTGGGGTCACATATTGAATAGTGAGCTCAAAGATGACCATAAATAAACAATGTGTAAAAAGAAAATGTACGAAATTTCAATTTTGTTCCTTTATTAATATTCTTGATTTTATTTACAAACTATAGTAGTGACTAGTGCACTCAAAGATAACCATACATAAACCATGTGTAAAAAGAAAATGTACAAATAGAAATTTCAACCAAAAAGAAATCTCCTTTATTAATAGAAAAAAAAGCATTCGATCGAGATATTCCCGTTCTATGTGTGCGCAAAGTTTCAACGTAGAGGACAGTACGCAAGTACGTAATTTGAAAATTACCCGTTATTTTTTTCCCCACTGACACTGCTGTGCGCATCGGACTTTTGCTGATTTTCGTTCATCAAACGTCTCCAAATCACACCAAAATGTCTTCCAGCAATTATTCTAGCGATGAAATTTCATCAAGAGATAGTGACTCCTCATACTCCGATGCCTCCTTATCCCATTTTAGTGATTCTTCCCAAGAAAACGAGCCCGACTAATGTTCAAAATATTACTAGTCCCACTCGTAGAGAAACGAGTTTGTTGTCGAATTACGGACCATCGACGAGCGGAACTGGCCCCAGAAAACAGCTAAAAAGGTACGTTTATTTCTGAAACTTAATTATATTATGATATATATATTTTTATTGTGTCTGTTGTTGAATATAATGCTACTTCATAGACATAGTAGGCCTATAGAATGTTATTTTACGTATCAATATTCCCATGTAGCTAGTGTTGAGGTTGTACTAGACTACACAACTTCTTAGTGAAGTGTAGTGAATCTCCAAGTGCAGTGTAGTGTCTGTTAGTGAATGAGTGAATGTAAACAAACGTGATTACAATAAATCCACGTAAAAAATTTCAGATTTTGTACCATTACTACGTCTGTCAATTATTTTGCCTTGCATGATATAATGTTTTGATGTGGTTTTAGGCTAAATTGTATCTCAAATTATTTTTCTAGGAATCAGAAAACACAACGCAAGAAGAAGAGCAAGTCTTCCAAGTCCGAGAGTGTGTCTGCGAGGTATGTCCTTACTAAGTAGAAATCTAAATCTATTGTTGATAATTTTTTTGGGTTTATTTATTTCATGTTTGTTAGTTAAGATCTGACATCAAAATATTAGAGTAGTTTACCTCATCATATTATGCTAGAACAATAATTTGCAGGTGGCACAAGTTCTACCTAGATCTACATTATTTTTCTCTTTCCTTTTTATTTTTTTCTTCAACAAATTGTTCCTTTACTATTTTCTTTTCTGTGTTTTATGTTTTATTTTATGTATGTTCACCCAATATATCTAAGAATAAAATAACTCTAATTAATTGCCTACCTGAGTGGTTTACATTTTATGCACCTTGACAGCTCTTTGATGACTCCGTTGTTTCACCATCCGTTCGTCGTCAGCCTGGCATCTTTTTTGCTATCATACTTTTGTACACACATGTTCTGTGCCTTTGAATTTTTCATTATGAAATACATAAATACTTGTACTAAGTATTAATTGCATGTTCATAAATGTACCAATGCATGATTATTCTAACCCCTAACTCACATTTCATTTATATCTTTACAGATCAATTGAAACTAATCAAGCTACAATGTACATGTAACGTACAACCACCATTCGATGCCTGTGAACAGCATGACCAACATCTGTATCCTTTACATTAGTATTTGTTTCCATTTTATTATGTAATTCTTATGTCTAATCATTGAGATTCATAGGCAAGTACAACATGTATGTGTACACAATGAGTGCCTGCATATTGTGAAGATAAAGGACCATAAGACCATTACTTATGATACATGGTAATGATGGTATACTTTGTAAAACTATTTGAAAATAGTAGCATGTAAGTCTGTCATTTTCTTGTTTATATATATCTCAATGACATGACATGTCATTGATTTTGTAGTAAGTGTTTCTAGATTATGATGATTGTATTAAGATTTTGACAGTTCAATTGAGATTGAGTAACATGTCAACTGTACAATAGAGCATGCATGCATTGTTGAAAAATCTGTTTTAGGATTTATTTTATTTTGTTATCTTTGTAAATAACGAGAATTTTTTTTTTACTTGTCATGATTTTCTTGAGGTTTGAAAATGTTATTACATTATTAAGAGCACTTTGCAATTAAATTGTAATAAAAGAGACAGAAAACAACACTCTCATGTCAAGAATACTGCTTTATTTGGTTACTAGTGAGGGAGAGAGCTTGTGATCGCCTGGCATATCCACATCGGCTCAGTAATAGTCCTGAAACTCACCTGAATACTTTATTTGAACAAAAATAGAAAGCTACATTCTAGGTGGATGATATTTTTTTAAGGCGGAGGCATATAGGAGACGCAGTCGCATTTGTCTTGTTTTTTTTTTTTAGAGTATAATCATAGCAAACCATGAACAACTCTATTACTACAACATGTACACTACAGTACTTAACCAAAGATTGTAAATATCAGTTAAGTTCTTTTATTTATTTGCTTATATGAACACACATACTATACTAAACTCATGTCATTGTGTTTACCTCTCGAAAATAAAGTACATGTATTTTATTTGACACATTCCCTTTTATTCTTTTTTTTTTGTTACAGTCCACTGCCATTATAACGAGGTGCTCGGGACCAAGCCAATTTCCTTGTTAAAATGAAATCATGTTATACTCCAGTTACTGAACACATTGGTTTAAAATTGGGACTGATGAGAATTGCTTGATAATAAAATCTTGGTGTATCCATGTTCGTTATAATAGGAGTGGACTGTATAACATTTTCCATATACCCATTGACTATTTTAAATGTTCTACTGAATGGATTGGACTGAAAGGATGAAGTGAATTTGGCAAACTGAGTAGGTGCATCGATGCAGAGAAAAGAGCTGTAGGAGTAGGGTGACTATTCTACAGTGGAAACTTTTGACAATGAGGTCATGTGCAACCAAGAAATCTTAACCCCCAAAAGCTGTTAAATTACCTTGTCATTTCAGGTATAACTGATCTCTTTATATCAAGTTTGCACTGTATGATTTAATTGAATGTACAGAGTCGTTGACTGGATGTGTGAGATGGTAGTGCTTGAGAAATCCATGAAAGTAAAGGATGAGTGACCCCCCCCCCCCCCTATTTCCTGACTATTTTTTACTGATTTCCTCACTTATTTTCTATTTTTTTCCTATTTCCTTACTATTTTTTTCCTATTTTCTTACTATTTTTCCCTATTTTCTTACTATTTTTTTCCTATTTTCTTCCTATTTCCTTACTATTTTTTCCTATTTTCTTACTATTTTCCCCTATTTTATTACTATTTTTTTTAATATTTTCTTACTATTTTTTTCCTATTTTCTTAGTATTTTTTTCCTATTTCCTTACTATTTTCTTACTAATTTCCCCTATTTTCTTACTATTTTTTTCCTATTTTCTTACTATTTTTTTCCTATTTCCTCACTATTTTTTTTCCTATTTCCTCACTATTTTTCACTGTCCACTAGCACCTAGTTATCACTATTTTTTTACTATTTTCTTCACCATTTTCTACACTATTTTTTCCCTATTTTTTTCCTATTTTTAGGTCTGAAAAATAGGAAAAAAATAGGAAAAAAATAGAAAAAATTGTTTCAAACCTATTTTTTTCCTATTTCCAAAACTATTTTTTCCCTATTTTTTCCTTTAAAAAAAATAGGGAAAAAATAGAAAAAAAATATATTTTCGGGACTATTTTTTCCTTATTTTTCCCCTATTTTTTTACGACTGGGGTTAACTTAAGGAATAGGCTAAGCAGGAAAATTCAACTAGGTAGAAGATTAGATGTTCAAGTTCCAGATATTGATGTTTTACAAAGTGACTTTCTTTTGGCAAGTAAGAAATATAAAAAATTGCTAAGGTACAAAAGGAGGAAGTATGGTAAAGATTGAGTGATTCTTTACGGTCTCTAGGAAATGTATTAAATCAGAGGATAATCCAGAGGAAAGGATGTGTTTGGATGCCGATACAAAATGATTGTTTCAATGAAACTATCACTTTAGAAGAGTTTGAATTAATGGTAAATAAATTGAAAAATGCCAAAGCTTGTGGTGAAAATTTGATAAGAAATGAAATTTTGAAAAGTTGCCCCTTAGAAATGCGTAGGGTTATTGTTGATTTATTCAGTTTTAGACAGTGGAATCCTTCCCTCTGAATGGTATATAGGAGTGATTATCCCAATATTTAAGAATTAAGGTGGAAACGCATATCAACATAATTATCGAGGAATTACCAAGCTCAGTAGCCTTGGTAAACTGTTTACCTCAGTCTTGAATAAAAGAATTTCTAGCTTTCTTGATAGTAATCATTATTTGTTAGGTGAGGAACAAGCTGGATATCGTTCAACATATTCAACCATTGATCATGTGTTTGATTTGAAGACTATCATCGACTTTTACGTACAGAAAAGGAAACGCTTAAATTGTGCTTTTATAGATTATAAAAAAGCATTTGATTTAATTGATAGGAAGTTTTTGTGGTTTGAATTGTTAAAAACAGGTGTGAAATGGCAAAGTCCTAAATGTTGTTAAAAGCTTATACAAATGTGCGAAGTCTTGTATTTCTGCCAACCGCGCAATGTCTGCATTTTTCTTGTGTAACGTAGGAGATAGACAAGGTTTGCTGTTTATTTAAATGACTTTCAAGAATAAATTGCCAAATATTATCCTGACGTGAAAATTTCAAACGAAGAAATATAGAATACCTTACAGGGCGAGGAATTAGAGCTTTTTTTCAAAGTTATTTTGTTTATTGTACGCTGATGACACAATCATTTTGGCAGAAAGCCCTGACGAATTGCAAGTAGCGCTGAATGCAGTACAAGGGTATTGTAATACTTGGTACCTAACAGTCAATGCGAGTAAAACTAAAATAATGATTTTTCCAGAGGGAAAAGTTGAATAGGAAGATACTAAATTTTTATGTATGGTCATGCAATAACAGATGTGGTATATGATTTTGCTTATCTTGGAGTACAGTGTAGTTATAATGGTACTTTCAAATAGGCGATGGCAAAACAGACAGTGCAGACTGGAAAGGCGTTATACAGTATGTTGACTAAAGCGAAGAAAATGCAGTTGTCAGTTGATATTTAATGGCATTTATTAGACCATTTAATTTTGCCTATCTTATTGTATGGGTGTGAAGTCTGGGGACATGAAGATTTAAAGCAAACTGAAGTTTTCCATAGGAAATTCCTCAGAACTTTATTATATGTAAGTTCATATACCCCAGATTGAATAATGTGAAGCGTAGAATAGTTAATTTTTGGTCAAGAATTCATATGTCCTTTTGAAATTTATTTCTGCCATTCATAAAGATGAACATTTGGACTTTACCTTCTCATGGTTAAAATTTATTAAAGACGCATTTAATCAAGCTGGTCTATCCACTATTTGGCTAGGCCAAATAGTGGTTGGGCTTAAATACTAATTTTTTGTTAAAACTGAGACTAAATGATATTTTTTGTCAGGAAAAAATATTTAAAGGCAGCCATATATTTGAAAGCTATTTACTCATCCTAAATAAAACTGATGCTTTTACTCTCTGTAAGTTCTGGTGTAGATCACATAAATTTACCTGTAAACAAAGGTCCATTTTATGCGAACACACCGCATTGTAATATGCAGTGCACACTCTGCCTGTCCACTGATATAGGAGATGAATTTCACTATATTTTTGTTTGTCCATATTTTTAAAGAGAGACATGTTTATATTTACCTAAAAAGTTTTGTAAGACTAAGCTTCCAAGTGATTTGCACATGACAGAACTTTTTGATACTAGAAGCACTTCTCTTCAAGCCTCAGGCTTTCAGGTAGTACAATTAGAGCTTAACATACACTAGCTTGTAAATAGACTGCATTATACTTAAACATTTTTAGTATTGACACTATCTACATTGTATGTATATATTGTGTTTACTAGTTGGTTACATTGTTCACGTTTGTACTTTCATACACTATAGACATACCTGCCAACCTTTACAAAAAAAAAATAGTAATTTATTTCACGTGGACTGTGAGGGAGCGCAGCGACCGAACGCTAGACCGAGGGAGCGAAGCGGACGAGTGGGGGGTGGGTGTGGGAGGGGGGTGTCCCCCCTCCCACGCTAGGGAGCTTTTGGTATTTTGAACATGTAGAAATGCCCTTTCCCTTCACTCTAAACCCATTTTTCAACACTTATGGAACCTCCCCCACAAAAGAATAAACTGTCAAAAACAGCAAAACATGGACTAAAAGCTAAAAATTCTTCTGATGAAATAGACCCTGGAGGAGAAAAATAAAGTCATACATAATTACACTTAATGCTCTCAAACTTTCCACCTCACCTCTACTGATCGCACAAAGCAGTCTTTTCCAGCCATCAGTGACTCCATCAGGCACTTGTTTCTTGGTTGTTCAGAGAATAAACTTGACATACTCATGCCTCATAAACACATGCTGCCAGATATAGAAGACATCTATCTTGTAGAAGTTTTACAGAAGTTTTACAATGCCTCAAGCTTTAAGGCATGAGGACGTTGCCTGTTTCGCTTTCTTGAGAAGTTCCTTGTTCAGAGAATAAACTTGACATACTCATGCCTCATAAACACACGCTGCCAGATATAATTAGAAGACATCTATCTTGCAGAAGTTTTACAGAAGTTTTACAATGCCTCAAGCTTTAAGGCATGAGGACGTTGCCTGTTTCGCTTTCTTGAGAAGTTCCTTGGAGTGCACAGTAGAATGGCATGGCGTGTTCCTTGATAGCAGGTCCATTCTCCTTGTCAAGATGCTATCCAATGTTTTAGTTGAAAGGCTCGATCTGAATTCCGTTTTGTTCTTGTTCACGATGCTGAAAATTCTTTCACAATCGGCATTGCTGTGATACATAGCAAGAAGCACCTTTGCTACTTTCACCAGTGTTGGATACAACACATTTCCAGTGGCTGGAGACTTCAGCTTCGAAATTTCATGCCATTGCGAGTCGATTCTCAAGTCTGGTTTCAGGATTTCATCAGTGAGATCATCCACCTGGAAACAACAAAGCTCATCTTCCAGCTTGTCCCTTTCATCCTCTGGTACAAACTGGGGGTACTTGTTTGCAAAGAACAGCCACTTGTTGAGCTTCACTTGTGTGCGTTTGGAGACATCCAATACATCAGCATTTTGAAGAACTTCTTCTTCAAATGGATAGGACTTTCTCATATAGCTGCATGCTGAAGAGAAGTAGCTGCGTACACTGTCGTAGAATTGCTTCAAGTTACACTGCTCTCCACACTCTCTGATGTATGTGCGTACTGCTTGGCCAACAAACAACTCTTCATCACTTTTCTGATTGCTTTCATCTGTGAACTCTACTTCATACACTTTCAAATGAGCAGTAACAACTTCTGGCTTCACAAATCGAACAAGCAGTGACTTCAGTTGGTTGCACATAACATTATGCATTACATGAATACATGGTTCATCTTTCTGAAGGATCAGGTTACTGTCATCAAACAAAGAAATGGTAATGTTCAAAAAGAGACAATATAGTTTTGTGTTAGGGTCTGTCATCATC